GCGCTAAAAAGGATTATGCTGTATTTCAAAATAAAAGAAGATATCAAGAAGAAGCACAGGCTTATTTTAATGAAATCCAAAGGTTGGAAAGTGAAAAATTGAGACATCACCCATCAAGTGAAACAGGTAAATCCTATTCAGAAATGATTAGGAAGAAGAAAGGAATAATCAATCAATTAAGACAAGATTTTAATTTTGATTAAATTAATTAAATTAATTAATTAGATTAATAAATATAATCTAATTAATTTAATATACTAATGAGATTAGACAATGCACAGATGAAATCATTAAAATCACAATTGAGATTAAGACCGTCTTATAATGAACTGATAAAGGAAATTACAAAGGAAGAATTTAAAAATAAGAATATAAGAGATGTAATAGACAGAAACGCTTATTATTTTCGTGATAGTCCATTAGGAACAGTGTATGATAATAATACAGTAGATTTGAGACAGCAACACTTTAAAAAAATGGTAGATGGAGAAAATCAAACAAATATTTTGATATGGCAAGGGATGATGAAATGGATGATTTAAGAGACGGTTCAATACAAACACTAAGTGCCACAATGGATGATGCAGAGGAACAACACGAACGACAAATCAGTCAAATTTCAAAAAGAGTTAGTAGTGAACAAATAGCAGACCTACACCAACGAGCACAACGAGCAAAACAATTAGATGAAGATGACTGGCAGTCAGTAGCAACTGCAAAGTCAAGTGATGATTTACCGCCATTGGAAGATTTACAACCAAAAAGAGTTTCAAATTTACAAAAAGCAAGAGCAAGATTGCAATTGAAACGATTTATTGATGAAGATAAATACAGTCCTGAACCAAAAAGAGTTTCAAATTTACAAATAGCAAGAGCAAGATTGAAATTGAAACGATTAGATGCCGAAGATAAAACAGTCCTGAACTAATAGAAATAAAAGAAGCAGAAAAAAGAATAGAGCAAAAAATGGACACCGCTGGCAGTTCATCCACATTACCAGCAAGACAAACAAGAACACATAAGGAAACTATTGACTATTCAACTGATATAAACCATTGGAAGGGAAGCGCAGTAAAAGAAGAAGACATATTATTTCAATTATATTTAAGAGGAGCAGGACTTACTGAAGAACAGGAACAACAATATTCAAACACAAAGAAAAAGGGGAAAGGAAAAAAGGAAACAGGTAGAACTTATTTAGTTGGACTGGTGGAGAAGCTTATAAACAGCGGAAAATGGACAACAGAAGTAAATGAGGAATTGTTAAGAAAAAGAATGAATGATTGGAAAGATATGAAAGGAAAAGGCAAGGCAACAAAGGAAAAATAATTCATTTTACATAATTTATCAATAATTATATAAAATGATTAACAACCACAAGCAAGAGTTAAGGAAACGCCCTACTTATGATGAAATGCTTAAACAAGCAATCACAAGCAAAATGAAAACAACAGTTAGATTGAAGAAATACAAAAAATATATGTTATTGAATAATTTTGATTTTGATAAAATGGATTTAATGAATTATAAAAATAAAGAAAGATATATGAACGCTCAAGTTATGATGGCAGACAAGGCAACACAATCGCTTAACAAAGAAAACAAGGCAACACAAACAGACCTACCAAATGATAAAGCGACACAAACTTATAATTTTGATGATATGACAAAAATATTAGGCGGTTCATCAAAGAGTTTCAAAAGCAAATTGATAACCAAGGCTGAAGCAGAAGCAGAAGCATTTACATATGACCCTGATTTATATGATGATGACGATGATGATGATGACAAAAAAGATGATGACATTGATAGATATAGAAAGAAATTATTTATGTTGATGAGGATTATAGAATTTATGATGAGGTCAGGTTTTAGTATAGGACAAATAGTAGCACATTTAACATATCACACTACATTAACTACAATTCAAGGTTCTGAGTTATTAGTTAATCTGACAATGAATTCATTAGTAACATCATACGATATAGCAACTGCTATAATGAATTGGTTGAATACAAATGTTAGTGAGGAAGTTGAATTAAACACTTCCCCGCCTGTTAGCGTTAATAGTTCTCCGCCTGTTGAGCTGAGCTCAATAGCTGATGATGAACAAAGTTCATCATTACCTATCACTGTTAATAGTTCTTCAACGCATACTGTTAATTCATCATCATCAGAAGAAAATTCTAATTATGAAATAGCACCACCAACAGAAATACCTATTCCTACTGATGCTGAAAATGAAGATGAAGATAAGGATAAAGATAAGAATAAAGAAAAACAATAAAATAATAATAATAATAATAATAATAAAAATAAAAATAAAATAAAAATAAAAAATAATAAAAAATAATAAAAAAATAAAATAAAAATAATAAAAATAAAAAACATAAAATAAAAAAAATAAAAATAAAATAAAATTAAAATACCAGAATTTGTAAAAATGCCTTAAAGAAATAGCGACTTTATTCTATAAGATAAATGCCATTCTATAGCAGACACTCAGATGATGGAAGAGATAGATTTTTAGGAGGAATACATGATGAAGATGATTATAATGACTTTATGAATATGTTATTTATGAATAGTAGTTTTGCTGATGACATTGAAAGACATTATAAAAGTTCAGATGCTGATGTGTTGCCAAGTCCTACTGATAGCGAAGAAACGAAAGAAAATAAAGAGAAACAATATCAAAAGGATTATCATAAAAAATACTTTCAAGAAAAACTTAATAAACCTTATACATGTAATATTTGTGGAAAATCAATGGCCAACAGTTCTAACAAATCAAGACATGAAAAAAGTAGAAAGTGCCAGAGTATTAAAAGCAAAGTCTAATTGGATAATATTAATTTAATTTTAATTAATATAATCCAATTTCAATATCTGAGTAAACTAAGTAATGAGGAGATAATGAGCAATATCTACTATGATTTAGAAACAGGTTATGGTTCTAAACAAAGCTTATACAATCAAGCAAAAGAGAAAGGAGCAAGTGTAACATTAGAAGAAGTGGCACAGTGGTTGAAGAAGCAACCTAACAAGCAAATAAAGCCGTATCAGAATTATAACAGTTTCTTAGTGCCTTATGCCAGAGCAGAATTTCAAATAGATATTATGGATATGAAAATATTTAAGAAAGAAGATGAAGAACGCTATGCATTGATTGTAATAGATGCTTTCAGTAAATTAGGTTTTGTGTATCCAATGTTTCAAAGAGACAGTCCAAACGTTTTGAAAGGTTTGAAAGAAGCATTTAAAGTTATGGGTGAGCCTGTGGAAATCTTTTCTGATGATGATGGAGCATTTAAAGCAGAAGTAAAGAAATATTTAGATGATTTAGGTATAATACATAAAACAACACTAACGCATGCTAATATTGTGGAGAGATTGATTAGAACGATTAAGAAAGGAATAGGAGACAGAATGCACTTTACTAAAGGTAGATGGACTGATATGTTGAAACCTACATTAAAGAAATATAATAGCGCTATTCACTCATCAACTGGAATGAAACCAAATGAAGCGCATGATGATGACAACAGAGCAAATGTAAAAGCAAACCTTACACTGAAGCAAAAGCATATGAGAAAATACCCTAAATTATCAGTTTCAGACACAGTGAAAATATACCAAAAAGGAAAAGGTAATTATACATCGAGGAAAGAAACCAACTCAAAGTGGACAGAACGGAAATACAAAATAGAAAAGATAGAAAAAGATATAACATTACAAACATACTATGTCTTGGAAGGATTGAAAAAGCATTATTTGCGCCATGAATTATTACTAATTGAAAATTGAAAATTAAAAATAATAATTTAGACTGATAATTAGTTATTTAGTTCTTAGAATTTTTGACTTTAAAAAGACTTAAAGAGAAAAAACCTAATTAAATTATATATATAATAATATGAATAGAGATTTACCGCCAGATGAAAACACTAAAATAGTTAAGTATCTTCTTAAAGAAAATTTAGGAGAATACAAAGTAAATAATAAAGGTAAAAAACTTAAAACCATAATTATAGGAAACAATCAGTATAGATATAATCCAGAAAAACCAATAAGCAATAGATTGAGTAAGAGACTTGAAGCAGTAAAGAAAACTAATGACTACAAAGCAAATCAAATCAGAGAAAGAGTAGGAGCAAGAACGGGTTTAAAACATGCTATTAAGAAAAAAGCAGTAATAA